TCGGAGAGTCAGCGCTGTCCTTAGCCCAACGTCTCCTTAGCTGATCTATGTGGCGCCGCCATACTCGACCGTCAGCCAACTGTACCACATACATGCGAGTACCCACAGAGTCGGATATTACCCCAGGAAGCCATAAGTGACCATTAGCATAATTTCGGGCGAAAACCTTGTCTCCTTTTTCAAACATGCGCACCTTCGGTTGCGGTTCTGTACGCTCGGAGTGATCGTCAGTTAGATCCGGATGTAACCTGTTTAAGCAGGTTGTGAGTCTGCGTCCCATTAACAATTCGGCCGGACTACGGCCTGTAGAACTGCAAGGGGTGGTATGCTGCCGCAAGAGGAAAGCACCCAGCCTTTGGCTCCAGTCACCTTCGTTCATTTTCCCTAGGGCCTCTTTTGCCGTCCTTACCATCCGTTCGGCCTGGCCATTAGATGCCGGATGGAAGGGGGCCGAAGTCATTTGGCGGATGCCATTACTCGTGAGGAACTGCTTAAACTCCTCAGAGACAAATTGAGGCCCGTTGTCACTGACGAGGACGTCAGGCAACCCGTGCGTGGCGAAAAGATGGCGGAGCGCATGGATCACGGCTAGTGAAGTGGTTGTTTTCATGCGCACAACCTCTAACCATTTAGACATTGCATCCACTACTATGAGAAACATGTTCCCCTGGAACGGGCCAGCGAAATCCAGATGCAATCTGGCCCAGGGTTTCCCTGAAGACTCCCACCTCTGAGGCGGAGCTTGTGGGGGTTCCGGCCTGACTTGCTGACACTGGGAACACACGCGAACCCAATCCTCAATCTCTTTATCCAGCCCAGGCCACCAGACATACCCCCTGGCCAACGCTTTGGTGTGCACCATTCCAGGGTGCCCCTCGTGCAGAGATTCTAGAACTCTGTTCCTGAGCTTGTCAGGGACCACCACCCTGTTGCCCCATAAAACACAGCCCTTAGAAATGGACAGTTCACTTTGGCGGCATTTGTAGGGTCCAAATTCAGGTTCAACACTCCCAACTGGCCACCCCCTCCAAACCCAGTTTAAAACACGGGACAGCACGCTATCTTTAGCCGTGTGTGCAGCAATGTCCCTGGACGATACAGGAGCCTGAGGGAGTTCGTCCAGTGCCAAGACCTCACAAGCAGGAGCAGGGTCGGGTCCCGCACAGGGCAATGGGCAGCGGCTGAGGGCGTCCGCATGTCCGATTGCCTTCCCAGGCCGGTGTTCAAGGTCATAATCGTACGCCTGCAAAAAGAGCGCCCATCTAAGCATGCGCGGGGACATGATATTCGGCAGTTGCTTATCGGGTGCAAAAATCCCCAGTAGCGGCTTTTGGTCAGTGACCAGCAAAAATCGCCTGCCAAAAATAAAGTCATGGAACTTTTTGACAGCCGCTACTAAAGCCAGACCCTCCTTGTCAATCTGGGCATAGTTCCTTTCTGCCTCAGAAAGAGATCTTGAGTAAAAAGCGATTGGCGCCTCGCTCCCATCAGGCATCAGGTGGCTCAAAACCGCGCCAATTCCAAACGGTGAAGCGTCCGCAGCTAACACCAGGAGCTTCTGGTCATCATAATGCGTCAGCACGTCATTAGACACCAACAGCTCCTTAACCCCCACGAAAGCCCTTTCTTCGGCCTGTCCCCACTTCCATTTCGCCTCCTTATGCAAAAGTGCGTGCAAAGGGGCCGCCACTGATGCCTTATGCGGTAAAAACGCATGATAAAAATTGAGGAGTCCTAAAAATGATTGGAGCTCCTTCTTACTCACCGGCCTGGGGGCGTCTCGGATTGCAGTCACCTTGTCAGTAGTGGGGTGCACCCCGTCTGCATCAATCCTGAACCCCAAGAACTCTACACTGCTAACTCCCAGTGTACATTTTGAACGTTTTACTCTGAGCCCAGCGTTTTGGAAACGCTTCAAGACCTCCTTCACCCGGTCCATCAACTCATTTTCAGACCTCCCCGCAATTAACACGTCGTCGAAGTAGGGCACCGTCCCTGGTACCCCCCTCAAGAGTTGCTCCATCAGGCCCTGAAAGATGCCGGGCGCCACATTTACCCCGAACTGTAGGCGATTCACCTTAAAAGCCCCCCTATGGGTAACAATAGTCTGAGCCTCTGCAGCCTCAGGAGTGACAGGCAACTGCTGGTATGCCTGTGCCAAGTCTAATTTGGCAAAGATCTTTCCGCCCCCCAATGAAGCCAGGATGTGGCTAATAACCGGGACGGGATAGGAGTGTTGTTGTAACGCCTTGTTAAGGGTGCATTTATAGTCTGCGCATAAGCGTATGGACCCATCAGGCTTAACTGGTGTTACTATAGGCGTCTCCCACTTGCTGTGAGGAACAGGTTCCAAAATTCCTTGTTCCACGAGTTTATCAATTTCCCTCTCTACTTTAGGCCTGAGGGGAATTGGAACCTTCCGATATTTCAGTCTGATCGGCTTTACAGATGGGTCAAGTTCAAAAGCAACCGGGGGCCCTTTGTACCGCCCCAGACCCTCTGCAAACACATCAGGGAACAGGTCATACATCATATCCCATTTATTCTCAAGCAATTTGTTAATCCCTGAAATACCAATGCCCAATGGCTCAAACCAGTCCAACCCCAGCAGGTTGACCCGGTCTCCCTCAGCAATAAGACATGACAGTTTAACACATTTCCCCTTATACTCAACATGTACAGTGTCTCTTCCGGCCAGGGGAATCCGGTTGCCCTGGAAGTCGGACACTCTGGTCTCCGCAGGCTGGAGCCGCCGTCTGCTTCTGGTCGGAAACAGCTGTTGCCAGGATGCTGCAGAAATCACCGTTACAGAAGAGCCGGAGTCCACCTCCATAGTGCATGGTCTGCCGTCGAGGAGTGGGGTCACGGTGATCTTCCCTTGGCAACTGGTGCGGTTTACAGCCGATGCGCTTGTCCGGGTCGTTGTAGTCTGGCAGCTTGCTTCCGATGCCGGGAAACGCTGCTTGCTGCTTCGGGAATTTGCGGGGGTATTCCTTTGTGCCGACCTGCTGGTAGGTGAGGGATCCTTCCGTGCCGATCTGCAGACTCTGGCCAGATGACCGCGCCGTCCACAGGCTCTGCAGTCGACATCCCGGGCCCAACAGGAGTCGCGCTGGTGTTTCCCGCCACAACCGGAGCAAGGCTTGACGTTGGTAGTCTTCGCTGGGGTCCGCTTGCCTCGAACCGCGTTGACGTCATCGTCTGCTTCCTCGCTCTCGCTGTCCCGCTGCGAGTGGACGCTGTGCTCTGCCATCCGCTGGCGGACCTCCTTCGTGGACCTATCCGCTGCTTCTGCGGCCAAGGCCTCTTCGTAGGCCACTGCCCAGGTCAGAGTGGTACGGGCGAACAGCCTTTGTTGTAGCTTCTCGTCTCTGAGGCCGCACACAAGACGGTCTCGGAGGGCTTCTTCCACGTCATGGAAGTTGCACGGCCGTGCGGCTTTGCGAAGTGCCGCCACGAAATCCGCGATGGTCTCGCCTCCGGCCTGGCTCCGCTTGTAAAACGCGTGCCGGCAGGCGATCTCCGACGGTTGTGGAGAATAGTGAGCCTTAAGCTTCTCCGTGATGTCAGCGTAGGTGACAGTCTTTATGTCAGTTGGGGCCACCAACAACCTGGCTATGTCGAAGGTCCCCTTCCCGCAGGAACTCAGGAGGCACGCCCGTTTCTTGGCCTCGTCTGTAATGTCATGTGTCTCCAGATGGAACTCGAACCTGGATAGGTAAGAGTCCCAGTCTTCTGAGGAGGGTTCGAAGCACTCGAACTTCTGGCTTCCAGCCATCGTGGGAGACTTGGGCACCGGAGCTGGTGGCGCCTCCGCCGGATCGGCTGCTGTGCTCTGCTCGCTTTCTTCCGAGTCCGAAGTGTGGATGTCCGCAGGGCTGCCTACCTGCTCTAATATCCCACCTTCGTCGCCAATTGTTAGATCGCGCTAACAAAGGACTCTTAGAGTGATTCAGCAAGTGATTCAGCTTTATTGGAAGTAACGAACAAGCACTAAACTCAGTAAGAAACCAGAACAGAAAACAGTGGGAGCTTATGCTCCTTTTAAACATAACCGGGCTAATGTAGCCACGCCTATTTACATTTAACAACCAATGAGATTGCTTGGTTAAGGACCAATGGGAGTCTTTCCCTCCTAGGGAATGGTATCGTTCTGATTGGTCGCTGTTACGAAGCGACCAATAGGAAGTTCGCTCAGAGGAGCCCTGGTCTGGCTCGAAGCTTAACATGGGAGTCCTATGAGGTGATTCATGTAATCATTTCAATACATTACAGTCAAGAGCACTGGACTTCCCACAAGTCAGTTCAGTAAATGAGACTGCAACATAATAGCTTTTACTCACCTGCTTCCAAATGAAATCGAAGACTAAACTAGAGTTTGTGAAGCAAGGATCCTACACGGGGTTGCCAGCTTTGTGTTGGAAAATACCAGGAGATTTGGGGGGGTAGAGATTGAAGAGGGCAGGGTTTATGGAGGGAGGGACTTTAATGGGGTATAATGCCATAAAGTCCATCTTCCAAAGTGGCCATTTTCTCCAGGTGAACTGTGTCACCTGGAGAACAGTTGTAATCCCAGGAGATCTCCAGCCACTACCTGGAGGTTGGCAACCCTAATCCTGCCTGACCTACCACTCTTGGGGTAGGCTGCCACAGTGGAGATTTCTTTCTTGAATACATCTGTGAATTAAACTGGGGACCACACCAGTCATGGGCTTTGCTCGCATGTTCATTTTGCTGCAGGATCAGGACTGAGTTGAGCATTAGATTAGAGAGAAAGCAAATTTTTGTACACATCAGATGGACCAGAGATTCTGAGATGAGCCACTGGCATGTTTCCCCTACTTGTTTCCCTCAGCTAGAAGCCTGAACAATAATCCCAGACACAGAAGACTAAACTACAGGTTCCATTATTTTCTTCTGCAATACTTTGAAAAGCATGTCAAATACCTTTCGTATTCCACAATACTTACGTTGTCTTATTTGCCTCTATTTCTCTACAGCTGGATCAGATCATTATTCACCAGCAAGTGGAACTTCTTCAAGGTATTGCACATCTGTGTCCCACCATTATCCGGGGGTGGGGTGGGGGATAAAAACAACACTGTGGCTCAGTTCAGACATAAGAAAAAACCATGACTTAAACTATAGATGCAGGTGGGTTGCTGTGTTAATCTGAAGCAGCAGGACAATGTTCAAGTCTAGTGGCACCTTTAAGCTGGTCTTAACGCTGCCACTGGACTCGCATGTTAATCAAACTAGCTACAGCTAGTGTGATTGTCTGAATGCAGGCCACTCCACTAACTGTGGTTATTTGGGGACAATCAAGCTAGGATCCGAAATTGGTTTATTAACAATTATTCTTAACTATAGTTTCATATGATGTCTGAATTTAGGCATCCTGGCTTAATTTTGGTTTAGGCCTAGCTTGTTTTCTAGCAACACCCTCCCACAGGGTTGCCAGCTCTGAGTTGGGAAATACCTGGAGATTTGGGGGGTGGAGCCTGAGGAGGATGGGTTTTGGGGAGGGGAGGGACTTTCCTCTCGACTGAGGGGACCCACAGAGTCTCCTATGATTTTGGGGGAACCAGGTTTGTTTTAAACTATCATCCTTTCCCTCAGTTACCAGGTGTTTTAAAGGTAGCAAGCTTATGGCTTTGGGTTTGCTGCCGTGAAGTAAGTTTTGTGGTGCATTAGTAGAATATGGAGATCACTGAGGCAAGAATTGTATATAAACGGCACAAAAGATTTATTTATTTACAGGCTAGTTTCAAGGAACAGATCAGCAGCACAGGTCTCCAGGTAGACTAAGGAGAAACCTGGCTGAGGCACATACATTTAAACTAGTTATGTCTTCAGAGAGTTGTTTGCGGTTGGGGTTTTTTTAAATGCTTTCTGGCACAAACAGGCTTTTACTGACTAGCCACTAGGTTGCATCCTCTCTCACACACAGGATTCCATCTACATCAGTCTGCCCAAGAGTCAGACAATGTGGTACAAGGTCTGGTCATTACCAGAGACATGCCTAACAACTGAGTACTGTATTCTCTCTCAGAGGTAGAGCTAAACCCCTCTGCCACACTGCCAAACAAAGGCCCCGGTCACACTGGGGGGGAAGGTGTGGCTGAAGTGCGGCTTTTTTGAGCTGCATCAAAAGAGACGCGCGGCGGCGGGATCAGACAGATCCCCCGAGCCGCCGCGCAGTTGCTCCCTGGCATGATCAGATGCCGGGGGGGGGGGGAGCCACAGATTGGTGAGCGAGGCAGCCCACTGTGCATATGCGCACCTGCGCAGTTTGGCCGGGGGCTCGGATGCTGCCGGAAATGAGCACCCTGGCGATCCCATGGCTGCCCCTGCTGCGGATTTTCAGGTAAGTAGTAGTGTTTTCTAGGGGTTTTTTTGATGTGCAGTTTCGCCCAGAAGGGACGGATCGGGGATGGGTGTGCTCCACTTCCCAGATGTTGCGGTGTGATCGCGCCCGCTTGATGCGCCCCCGATCCATCCCTCTCGTGTGGCAAATCCTCCCGTGAGACCGGGGCCAAAGCTACCCTTCCGTCTGTTCTTTTTTGTGTGTCAGACCTGAGCTATCACTGCTCACTCGCTCGCTCACTCTCTGAGGCAGACTAGAACTAAACTGTCTCCTCCTGTGCTTCCCGCCAACATTCCATCCCCTTTCTGAATGGATGCTGGAGAGGCACTCTCAAAGGCTCAGCTGAGTGGCTATTTTCCCTGTCAGGGGCAGGACAGCCTCCTGTCCATCACAGATTATAATGCTATAGGGTCCACCTTCCAAAGAGGCCCTTTTCTCCACTTGAACTGATCTCTACTGCTTTGAGGTCTGTTGTACCCCCAAGAGATCTCCAGCCACCACCTGGAGGCTGGCAATCGTACCCTCCCAGATTACAGGGACAAAGCAATGAAACTACCTTTTTTTCAAGGCAAGTCATGATTGGAATGAATAGCCGTAAACTGAACAAAGTAGTCACAGTTTAAAATAAACTATAGGATTTATGTCTGAACCTCTTCAGTGGCTTAATGTTGGCAAACAATAAGCACAGTCCAGCCAAAGAACTTTTAAGAAAGTTTAACACATGCTTAATTTTCCTACTGACATCTTTTTTGGCTGGATTCCACCTCAAATGACCAAGAGCACATATAATTATTAAATGCATTAAAAGTATCTAATAGATGCAGAAGTACTACATATTTAAACAGAGTACTAAATCAAAAAGGCTATCAGTTCCATCTCTGTCCAATCATAATGATGCTAAATACATTTCTGTACATTTGGTTTTATTTAGTTATACTTGGCACTGAAACCTGCAGCAAGTATGAGATAAAAAACCACATGGGACAAAGAGTTTATTTTGCAGTGGAGGAAAATGGTTGTTTTGATCGTAACTTCTGCTCACCTTTACGGTCCTTCACCATACGGATTACAGACAACACTGGTCAAGAAGTTATCACTGTGAACCGACCCTTAAGATGTAACAGCTGCTGGTTTCCATGTTATCTGCAGGAGGTTAGTAAATCATAGTATCAATACCTTTCATGTAAGTATATATCTTGCAAAAGATACGTAAGTACTACTTTGGGAAAGAGAACAATCATTTTAAAAATGTTGAAACTCATGAAAAAAGAACAGTAAATGTAAAAATTCACAGAACATAAACAACTGAGTTGTCATAGAGAACAATGGTTTGTCTCCTGAAAAAATAACTACTGCTCCCATGAGGCAAGGCAAGAGTAGATATACACAAAATTTTGCCAATCTGAACAGTTTACCTGCCTTTCCTGTTGAAAGGTACAAGATCATATGGGTGTGGTGGGCCAAAAATAGAAGCCACAATTCCCCAAAAACCTCCTTTGTTAATGGAATGAATGTTTAAAAATAAGAACTTAGCAGACATGTAAGAGTGGAAATTAAAATTCCCATCAGCAGGGGTCGTTTCGTAGAAAAAGAGCTAGGGGAACTCATTAGCATAACTCATTAGCATATGCCACACACCCTGACATCACCGGAAGTGTGTCATAAGGCCACACACACCGCCCCAACGGTCCCGGCTGCCACCCCCGGCCTTGCAGCTCCACTGCCGAGCCCCATGAGGGGCCCGGCGGTGGACCTGCAAGGCCGGCGGGAGTGCAAGGAAGCCCCGTGAAGGCCCTCCCTGGCCCCAGGCAGGCAGGGGTGGGGAGAGGCAGGGAGGAAGCAACTTACCCTCCCTCTTCTCCTGCCTCCTCCTGGCTGAATGAGGGCCGGAAGCGGGGCGGCCGGAAGCGGGGGGCGGGGCTTTGTCATGTGCCTCGCCTCCCGTACCTCACCCGGGGGAACTGTGATCCCCCGCGTTCCCCCCCGAAATGACCTCTGCCCATCAGACAAGTCAGAGAATGTCCACACATTCAGACCATTCATGTGCCTTTGGCATTAATAAACACCAAGTCAGGAAGCTATGAGGGACACAGACACTTCACATCTGTAAGTCACTGTGAAAATTTCTGTTATTTCTTTTTATCTTTTAAAATGTAGTGAACTGTAGATAGTGTTGCCAACTCTGAATTGGGATATTCCTGGAGATTTGGGGATTAAGCCTGGGGACGGTGGGTTTTGGGGAGAGGAGGGACCTCAGTGGGGTGTAATGCTATCGTCTACCCTCCAAAGCAGCCATTTTCTCCATGATAACTGGTCTCTATAGTCCAGGGATCCATTGCAATTCTGGAAAGTCTCCAGACTACCCTAACTGCAGATGGGGAGGAACTAACTTTTCCTGTAATTCCGGATGGTCTCCAGGCCCCACTTGGAGGTTGGCTACCCTTACTGCAGGAAAAGATGGTAGCAGCTGGAAGGAGGTGTTAGATCGCGCTAACAAAGGACTCGTACAGTGATTCAGCAAGTGATTCAGCTTTATTCAGAAAACAATGGGAGCTTATGCTCCTTTTAAACATAACCGGGCTAATGTAGCCACGCCTATTTACAAATAACAACCAATGAGATTGCTAGAATAAAGACCAATGGGAGTCTTTCCCTCCTAGGGAACGGTACCGTTCTGATTGGTCGCTGTTACGAAGCGACCAATAGGAAGTTCGCTGAGAGGAGCCCTGGTCTGGCTCGAAGCTTAACATGGGAGTCCTATGAGGTGATTCCTGTAATCATTTCAATACATTACAATTCCTCCCCCCTAAGTTAAGCCATCATCCCAATTGTTTTATTATTTACATACAAACAATCACCCTTTGTACATCAGTTATTCCAACAGTATTTACACTCATAGTCCTTCAAATAAGTCGGCATTTGCCGCGAACGCTGGGACCTGCGGAGCGGTGCAGGCTCCATGGGCAGACAAGGTTGTGGGTCAGAGTGGGGTTCACTACAGCCTGGATCAGGCACAGACTCGACTGGGATTTCAGCCCCGCACACAGGGTTCTGCCCTGACTCGGGGACAGTACCGGGCCTTTCGGTACTCACCGCCTGCTCTGGGGGTGTCCACTCGACATCAGGGGATTCAGCCGTCGGAGAGTCAGCGCTGTCCCTAGCCCAACGTCTCCTTAACTGATCTATGTGGCGCCGCCATATTCGACCGTCAGCTAACTGCACCACATACATTCGAGTACCCACAGAGTCGGATATAACCCCAGGAAGCCATAAGTGCCCGTTTGCATAATTTCGTGCGAAAACCTTGTCCCCTTTTTCAAACATGCGCACCTTCGGTTGCGCCGTGGTACGCTCGGATTGCTCTTCAGTGAGGTCTGGGTGCATTCGGTTCAAACGGGTCGTGAGTCTCCGCCCCATTAACAATTCGGCCGGACTACGGCCTGTAGCACTACAGGGGGTGGTGTGCTGCAGCAAAAGAAAGGAGCCCAGCCTCTGGCTCCAGTCCCCTTCGTCCATTTTACCCAGGGCCTCTTTGGCCGTCCTGACCATCCGTTCGGCTTGGCCATTAGATGCCGGATGGAAAGGGGCCGAAGTCATTTGGCGTATGCCATTACTCGTGAGGAAGAGCCTAAATTCCTCAGACACAAATTGAGGCCCGTTGTCACTGACGATGACGTCAGGCAACCCGTGGGTGGCAAAAAGTCGGCGGAGCGCATGGATCACAGCAAGTGATGTGGTCGATTTCATATGCACGACCTCCAGCCATTTGGACATAGCGTCCACCACAATTAGGAACATTTGCCCTTGGAGAGGGCCAGCAAAATCTATATGCAATCTGGCCCAGGGTTTACCAGATGACTCCCAGCCTTGGGGTGTAGCTTGTGGGGGATCGGGTCTGACTTGCTGGCATTTGGGACACCCTCGTACCCATTCTTCGATCTCTTTGTCCAGCCCCGGCCACCAGACATACCCTCTGGCCAACGCTTTGGTGTGTACCATACCGGGGTGACCCTCGTGCAGCGACTCTAACACTCTCGTCCTGAGTTTGTCAGGAACCACCACCCTGTTCCCCCATAATACACAGCCCTTAGAAATGGATAGTTCATTTTGACGGCTTTTGTAAGGGCCGAACTCCGGTTCAACGCTTCCAACCGGCCACCCCCTCCAAACCCAGTTTAATACTCGGGACAGCACGCTATCCTTGGCCGTGTGTGCTGCAATGTCCCTGGATGATACCGGGGGTCGAGGAAGCTCCTCAATTGCCAAGACCTCACAGGCGGGGGCAGGGTCTGCGCCAATGTCCGGCACCGGGCACCGGCTGAGGGCATCCGCATGCCCAATCGCTTTCCCAGGCCGGTGCTCTAAGTCAAAATCATAAGCCTGCAAAAATATCGCCCATCTAAGCATGCGTGGGGACATGATGTTTGGCAATTGCTTATCGGGCGCAAAAATCCCCAGTAGCGGCTTGTGGTCAGTGACCAGCAAAAATCGTCTGCCAAAAATAAAATCATGGAACTTTTTGACAGCCGCTACCAACGCCAGACCCTCCTTGTCTATCTGGGCATAGTTCCGCTCTGCCGCAGATAGTGATCTAGAATAAAAAGCGATAGGCGCTTCGCTCCCATCAGGCATCAGATGGCTTAAAACTGCGCCTACTCCAAAAGGTGAAGCGTCAGCAGCTAACACCAGGAGCTTGTGTTCATCATAATGCGTGAGTACGGCATTAGATGTCAGCAGCTCCTTGACTCCCACAAAAGCCTTTTCCTCGGCCTGCCCCCACTTCCATTTTGCCTCCTTGTGCAAAAGCGCGTGCAAAGGGGCCGCCACTGATGCCTTATGCGGTAAAAACGCATGATAAAAATTCAGGAGTCCTAAAAAGGATTGGAGCTCCTTCTTACTCACCGGCCTGGGGGCGTTTTGGATTGCAGATACCTTCTCATCCGTGGGGTGGACTCCCTCTGCGTCAATGCGAAACCCCAGGAAGTCCACACTTTCCACCCCGAGCGTGCATTTTGAGCGCTTAACTCTGAGACCGGCATTTTGAAAACGCCTGAGGACCTCTTTAACCCGGTCCAGTAGTTCCTGTTCAGACCCGCCCGCAATCAGCACGTCGTCAAAATAGGGCACTGTGCCAGGTACCCCCCTTAGTAGACGTTCCATGAGGCCCTGAAAAATCCCAGGTGCTACGTTGACCCCGAATTGCAGCCTGTTCACTTTAAAAGCCCCTTGGTGGGTTACAATTGTTTGGGCCTCGGCAGCCTCCGGGGTGACAGGCAACTGCTGGTATGCCTGGGCCAGGTCAAATTTGGCGAAAATCTTGCCACCCCCCAGGGAAGCCAAAATGTGGCTTATTACCGGGACCGGGTACGAATGTTGCTGCAGCGCCTTGTTAATCGTACATTTGTAATCGGCGCATAGTCGTATGGACCCATCTGATTTGACAGGGGTTACGATCGGGGTCTCCCATTTGCTGTATGGTACTGGCTCTAAAACCCCTTGCTCAACTAGTTTGTCAATCTCTTTTTCCACCTTATGTTTGAGAGACACAGGTACTTTCCGATACTTCAACCTAATAGGTTTGACTGACGGATCTAAGTCAAACGCAACCGGGGGGCCCTTGTACCTCCCCAACCCTTCGGCAAATACATCAGGGAACAGGTCGTACAGCATGCCCCATTTATTTTCAGACATCCTGTTAATCCCAGAAATACCAATGCCCAATGGCTCAAACCAATCTAACCCTAGCAGGTTAACCCGGTCTCCCTCTGCAATCAGGAATGACAGTTTAACACATTTCCCCTTATACTCAACAGTAACAGAGTCCCGTCCGGCCAAGGGAATTCGGTTGCCCTGGAAGTCGGACACTCTGGTTCCCGCAGGCTGGAGCCGCCGCCGGCTTCGGTTCGGGAACAACTGGCGCCAGGACGCGGCAGAAATCACCGTCACGGACGATCCTGAGTCCACCTCCATTGTACAGGGTCGGCCGTCGAGGAGTGGAGTCACGGTGATCTTGCCCTGGCTGCTGGTGCGATTTACGGCCGATGCGCTCGACAAGGTCGCCGTCAACTGGCAGCTTGCTTCCGATGCTGAGGAACGGGTCTTGCCTTGGGTGCTGACTGGAGTGCCCCTCTGCGCTGACCGGTTGTTAGTTG